TAAGATACAGCCCTGCACTTTTTTTTAAAATTTATTTTCTAGACTCCTTTATTCTAGTTGATGTAATTTACGAGGTTTAATTTTAGCTCATGTATTCTGTTTGAATTTCTTTTCCTGCATACGCCAATGGTTCTGTATTGGGTTTTTATATCATTTTGATTCACTGGGGTTTACCTCAGCCTGATTTCTTTTTTTTAAACTTTACTACATATATCCCCTAGAAATGTCAACTTTAAACTTAAACTCTAAACTAAAGCGAGACAACTCTATTCTTACGATTTTATGATTAATCAATAGAGATTGTATAACCCTCATGCGGAATTTCAATGGCAAATTGTCCACATGATTCCACTTTGGTTTTTATCGGTGAAGAACGGAGACTTGAAGTAAATGAAATGTGGTGGCGATGCCCGTAGAGTAATCACAATTACGGAGCAACAGCGATGGCGACACTGTAATAATATCAAATCGTATGTTTGAGCGGAAACTAAGTCGTAGCTTGTCTGAACCAACTAGAATCACTGTTACACATAGATACACCGAAGATATTAAGAGTATCTTATCTTGGCATTTTATAATACTGTGGAGCTTCATATTTTGCACTCTCTCTCTCTCTCTCTCTCTCTCTCTCTCTCTCTCTCTCTCTCTCTCTCTCTCTCTCTCTCTCTATCTCTTACTACTTTCCAAACCACCTAGGATCTAGCCAATACTTGTGCCAAGGGCTCCCGAAGTGCACAGGCCCCGCGCAACATGTACCATAATAATACAATCTACGTTTTTGTGTGCGTGGGGGGAGGTCAACTTTGATCTCAGATCCATGTCACGTTCAGTTAAATCATACATTCAAAGTGTAATAGATCCACATGAAAAATACATTCAATTCAATTTCGCAATATATCCCATTCCCAGTATTCTAGACGTTTTATTAATCAGCAGTTCGACCCCGTTACACCAGCGCCACGTCGGCATCAGAACCCTCAGCCGGTCACGTGATTTCCACGTACTGAGGGCGAGCTCTTGCGGGATTGATTCGACTCCAAGTAAAGGATATTTGTTATTTAAGATTTAAAGGCATATTCAGTTCGGCATTACAAAGTCCCCTAATATATGTTTTTTATTCATAAAAGTTAAAGCTCTTTTTCATATTCATTAAGAGCGAGCGAGAGAGAGAGAGAGAGAGAGAGAGAGAGAGAGAGAGAGAGAGAGAGAGAGAGAGAGAGAGAGAGAGAGAGAGAGAGAGAGAGAATAATACGATCACAAACAACCGTACAACGCTGCCTCCATTACTTATGAACCGTAATACCTCTCAGTACAGAAATAAACTCCAGTCATCGTTTACGAAATTCATTAAAGGGCGACACAATTATCCTTTTCACACTACCTTATTAATCGTCTTTTCGTTCGACAAAATCTGCCTTTTTCCCCCCCTCGCGCCCAAACTCCAGTGCCGCCTTTTCGTCCTTCCACCTGGCGACCTCTGATTACGAAGGACGCCAACTTCGTGAAGCGAGCCCGAGGCGTTGTTAGATGAAGGCCAAAAAAGAGTTAATTAAGGATGACTGCCTTGATTACTTTACATGACTTCCAGCGAAATCAGAGCTCGCAGGTACGACGCAAGATCCAAAAATTAAACCAGATCCCAAACCATTTAATATTTTGGACAGATCGACGAAACGACACGAACAAAGAATCGGGGTCGGGTCGGCTGAGGACCAAAGGGAACGCAGTCCAGGCCTTCTTTTAATGCTTCCCGTGAACTCTTTCTCTTCATGAAAAAATCAGCAGAAATATTGAAGCAGCATTCAAATTTCCATATGTTTTTTTCTCTCTATCAATCAGTCTATCTGTAGATGGACATAAATATAGATGTGAGCGAGATTTTCGTGGCAAGAGAAATCGTAATGATCTTTTCACGCAAGTTTTAATATGTAAATCTTTATACATGAATAGAATACACGTATTTCTCCGTGTTTATATGCATGTATGTATGCATGTATGTATGAATGCATGGACATACATACCATGTGCATATGCGTGTAATTCATTCTGTCAGAGGATCTTTCAAAATGGTGAAGGGGATCGTTGTCCCGACTTGTAATACATTCATGTATTTATATTTGATCAACTGCCGTCGAGGGCTGCGTCTTCCTGACTCAGTTCCGAAGACGTGGAGAGGAGGGCGGGAGAGGGAAAGCAACAAAGGAAGAGAAAGAGAAAGAGAAAGAGAGAGAGAGGAGAGAGAGAGAAAAAAAGAGAGAAGGAGAGAGAGAGAGAGAGAGAGAGAGAGAGAGAGAGAGAGAGAGAGAGGAGAGAGATAGAGAGAGAGAGAGAGAGAGAGAGAGAGAGAGAGAGAGAGAGAGAGAGAGAATGAGAATGAGAGAGAGAAATATACATATATATATATATATATGTGTATATATATATATATATATATATATATATATATATATATATATATATATATATATATATATATATATATATATATATATGTGTATGTATATGTATATATGTATATTCGACAGGCTATCTAGGCCTATCACCCATGTCGTGTGAGCTCAATGGCTCAGGTGAAGCCGCCCGAGGCCTGATCCACGGTTCGAGAGTTTGAGGCTCTCTGCTGCCGCCGAGGATTAGAGAGAGAGAGAGAGAGAGAGAGAGAGAGAGAGAGAGAGAGAGAGAGAGGGAGAGGGGGAGGGAGAGGGAGAGGGAGAGGGAGAGGGAGAGGGAGAGGGAGAGGGAGAGAGAGGGAGAGAGAGAAGGGGAGAGAGAGAAGGGGAGAGGTAGAAGGGAAGAGAGAGAAGGGGAGAGAGAGAAGGAGAGAGAGAGAGAGAGAGAGAGAGAGAGAGAGAAAGACGTCAGGAAAAAAAATGTAATATTATGGTCAAAGCGAAACATACGTGTCTCGTGGCCTCATCTGTCCTGCCGGCAGCGCGATCACGGCGACACTCCGGAACATCTGCTGCGACGCGTAAATCAGTTTTGTTTTGTGAGTCGCGGGCGGCCGTCCTCGCGCACCGGCGGGCGCGCCCTCGGGCCCGCCATGAGCGGCAGGCCCGAGGCTCTTGCTCTTATCGGTCTCTTTCCGTATCAGATTAGCTGCACGCGCACACACACACACACATATATATATATGTATATATATATGGTTTCACAAGTCGTTGCAAAAGTGCAACTTTTTATTGTTCTGATGGAGAGAAAGCAGTGAGTGGTTCAAATTTTGCAGAAATAACAGACCGTTTAGAACTGAAGAAAAAATCCTTACAGACCCATCCCCTAAGCGAACTTAATCACAGAGAAAGAGAATTATAGTGAGCGAGAGAGGCTTTTCCCACACACACCTACACATACACACACGCGCGCGCGCGTACATCTGTGTTCTAACTTACCAAATATACCAAATTTAAAAATGAGAACGACTCTGTCAAACACAGCAGCAGGAACTAGGGGGGGAGGGAGGGGGAAGGGCCGCGGCTGAAGGTCCTCCTCCGTCGCCGCAGAAGAACTTCGTCTGGGCCCTCGTCAGGCGACCTCCGGGCTCCGTCTAATTCCCCTCGGGTGCGGCGGAGCATGAGCGGGAGGGGAGGGATTTAATGAAAGCCCCCCCCCCCCTCCTTTCTACTTCCCCGCAGGGCGCGCTTCAACTGGGGGTCCGGACTTTCGAAATCGAGACGGAAAAAAATGGGGCGCGGGAGGAGTCGGCAATTCAAAAACTATTGGGTTATATGATATATAACCTATAACCCATAAGTGTGTGAGGGGGACGCACTCATTGGCAGTAATTATACTTGAATCGCCTCGTCCCCTTTGCTTATACCCTAGTGGCTTATGCAATGCTAGAGACACAGACACACTGGTGGAAGTGTAGCGGACTTTGGAAAATAATAATAATGATTATCGCTAATAATAGTAACAATAATATCGATGATGATGATGATGACGATAATGATCATATCAATGATAATTATGCCAATAAATAATAATAACAATAACAACGATAATATGTTATTATGGTCAACTTTATCCACTTATTATCATTATCATCGTCACTCATTATCAATATCATTATCATGAACGTTATTACTA